TATGTGTGTGTGTATATATATATATGTATATATACACATATATATTTATATTTATATATATTTACATATATAAATAATATATATATATCTATATACATATAATATATATATAATATATATAATATAATATATATTATAATATATATTATATTATATATATGTATTATACAAATATAATTTCTGTTTCCCAGTATCAAAAGCAAATAAGATATTCATCTAACATTTTAGCTAATTGAAAGCTTTTCAAAAGTCTCTTAGTCATATGACAAAACATCCATGTGAATGTAGCGTCCCTTTTACTCAAATACTTTTACACACAGTGAAAAGCAGGACTAAAACTAAATAAATCTCCTCACAAACATCTGGTAATTACTGTAATGGATGCGCTTGTCAGTCCTTTCTACAATGCTGGCAATCCTCGTGAGAATTAATATGTATTATTTTACAACAGAGGTGTTTAAAATAATCCTCTCAATAAAATACTCCTCTATTGAGGTTAAAAGTAACACTACTTAATTCAACCTGTAGGTGGCGATCTCACACAATGCAAATAAACACTGTTCAGCCAATGGGCACCTCTTTATCCTGAGAGGACTGTAAAGGAGATAAAGTATACTTTAAAAATACTCCAGAATAAAGCTTTCATAGGAAACTTAGAGGGACATATTTTTGCATATAGTAAGGCCATTACAGGCTAAGGCTTTTGAAGAAGACAACACACAACTCTGTGTTTACAGTCTTGGTAAAATCGATGAGTTTCACTTGCTTGAAGTCGTCCCTTTTGAATCTAGTCGCAGATCTCTCTCAAAACAGTGTTTCTATCGTGTCCGCTGTCACTCTTGTTGCTGGAGGTAGAAGACGAGAAGTGGTTACAGACTGTTATCCCTAAAGGGAGAAACATGACGGACACACTGCTTTCTTTCTATAAATAGTTTTATGATTGTTCTCAGTAAGAGTACCTGCACACACTAATGAAGGTGTTTAGTAAAGAGCATCGTTACAGAACTTACTCGTCTCAGGGTGTGCCACGTCACTCATTTGTTGAACCCCGAGAGCTCCGTTTCCTTCAAAACTTAGCTCCAACTTTGCTGAATGACAAGGAGGGGGAATACGAGACGGACTCGGGCTGCTGGGAACTGGCTTCTTAGCTACAGGTGGAGGAACTTTGTCACACTTCATCCTGCCATTTGAGAAAACACCAGCCTTTGATTGGTCAGAGACCTGTCTGAGCTCGGCCGCCAAACTTTGCTTCAGACTTGCCTGAGTCTCAGAAGAAGAGGCAGCCACTGTCTCTATGACCACCTTTTTTGTGCTCCTGGAGAAGATAAAGCTAGCAGTAGAGGCTGGAGACTTATACATGTCACATCCTTCAGATGACTTCAGAGTCTGACTGTGTGGTTGACTGACACAACTATAATTGGTTGATTTAATACCCATTCTGGAGGGAAGACCATCTCTTGAAGACATGGCTGCAGTTTTCATACGTATGGCCTCCTGTAGGCATGTTGAAGGAGAGCCTATTGTCACAGTAGATGGTTTTACAGTTTGAACGGAAGATTTCAATGACAAAGACTTCCGGATTGGCTTTTGAGGAATATTTTGGGATCCTTGGACTGAGACAGGATGGTTATCCATTACTGGTGCTCCCTCATTACAGGACTTGTCTTCTAATGTGGCTTTCACCTGATCTTCAGTCATGCTGACTGATCTAAGACGAACCATATGGAGCAGAGAGGGGGTGACAAGTGGTATGTTGGCATCCTCTTTAGGAATAGGTGAACTTTTGTGGCGGGAGAGTAGCTCCTTGCTCCTGGTGTCTCTATATGATCCACTGGATTGCCTTCTGAAGTTAAGCCCATGGGTCACATTCTCTGTTGGTGGAGGAGGTGATATCTGCTCAGTAATTGGAGCTGAAAGTTGAGCACTGACTGGAAGAGCAGGGAGAGAAGGATCTTCAATTTTCAGAGAGTTCCTCTTCAGAAAACTGCTGGAAGGAACCGCGGCCACAACTGGCAATATATTTTTTTCTCTTGTAACAGGCAATACAAGAGATAACTCTGCAGGTGGTGGTGAAACACTGGAAATATTCTGCACTGTTTGGCAAGAAGTTTCATCAACAATATCAGCTTTTGAAACTTCCGCAACAACCACTGGTTTACTGTCATTCTCAGGTGGATGTGAAAAAGCTGGGGTTGGATCTGACACGTCCATTGTGCTGTCTGCTACAGAGGGTGGAGGAGGTAGAGGAAAATCTACTTCCTCACTTCCATCAAAGGCAGAATCCCCTTCCAATGGGGGTGGAGGAGGTGGCCAGCAGGAGTCCTCAACATGTGATTCCTCCTGTTCCCGTGGTGATTCATTCAGTGGTATAGATATAGGTGAGGAAGGTGTTTTCTTTTTAAGAGGGGGAGTAGGCTGGTATGCTGGAGGAGGTGTAGGTGGTGGTGAGATCTTACTAACCTTGGGGACTTCAACTGAAAGTGTCTGCCTGTATGGGTTTTCACATTTTTCTGTCTGACTGTTATCAATAATCATAACAGCATCCTGTGAGCATGTTGAATTTCTCTCTTGAACTTCTGTTGCAGCACTTCTTTCTTCATTTTGTTTTGTCTCTACTGGTCGCTCTTTGTCCAGACTAAACAATACTCTCATGGGTTTCTTCATAACAGGTGGGGGATCTTTTTTTGGAGTTGCCTCTTGAATCTCTTGGACCCTCTCTCCAGATATACCATTTTCTTCTCTGCTCTGAACATTGGCTTTTTTCGTTTCCTGGACTTGTTCTGTGCCTAAACTTTCCCTGTCGACTTGCTTCATGTCACCACCATCGTCCCCTTGACGATGTGTTACGGACATTCTCATAGGCGTTGTTGTATTTATTGACATTTCCAAGAGCGGTTTGTCTGTGGTTTTCTGGTTACCATCTGCAAATTGTGACTCTTTTATGGGTTCAGTTTGGGCTTCTTCCTGATTTTCTGTGCTATCCTGAATCTGTGCTTGTTTGTAGACAACTTTTTTGCTGATGCTAGGTCCACACAGGAGCTCAACAGTGCATTTGTTGTGAGCCCAAGCCTCTGGAGGTGGAGGGCATGGTGCTTTGACTTTAGGGGGTGAAGGGATGGCCAGCAGCTCCCTGACTTCAACTTTGAAATTTGAGGGCAGGCTATTTGGCGTGAGTTCTTCAGTAGCAGCAATTGGGGAAGATTCTTGTGGAGACAGAGTTGTAGTGCAGATGGAAACATCAGCATTAGCAAGCTCAGATGTACCCGATGATAAAGAGGTGAGTGAGGAAGAAGGAGAAGCTGCTGAGGATGAAGCCTGAGATGCTAATCTCTCTGGTTTGATGGGATTCTTCGTTTGTTTGTCTGGCGAGGTTGTGGGGATCCCTTTTGGGGAAAGAGTTGGAGTGCCACTCTGACTAGAGTAACCGCTTGAAGGAGACATTGTTCGTTCAATTTTTTCTCCTTCTGGAGGATATTTCTGCAGGGGAGAGGTGCTGGACTCTAGAGATGACTTTGTTGCTTCCTCGTTTCTGTAAGAAGAGGTCTGCAAAGAGCTTAAAGTTCCCGAGGATGAATCTATTGGGCTAGATCCAGTGGAGTTTGAGAAGGAAATGAGCTTTGTGCTGTTATTTGTAACCAACTTTGTGTCACCTTCTGCTACAGTATCTTTTGAAGTTTCCTCTTTCTCTGATGCAGAGTTGCAGAGATCTTTGATATCACTTACAGTCTTAGAATCACTTCTCATCTTATTACCATGCAGCGAGTTAATTCTTCGTGGAGGTGCAGGAGGTTGCTTGGTCTTCATGACTGATAGACTATGAGCGCAGTTGTGTTTGTTTTTAGCTTGTTCCCCAGAAGTCATCAATTCTTTTGTATCACTCTCAGCCCCCAATTCTGTAGTATTTTCACCTTTACTGCTGGAGCTGCTAATCACACCAGCAGAATTGCAAAGATTAGCAAGGTCTAGATCTCCAGATAGGTCTGTCTGGCTTTCTCGTTCATCAAGACCAACTTTGTTTGAGAAGGTATGTAAGGAGTCAGAAATAACTGTCTTTGAGGACTGCGACTCGCTCCAGTTTGACCCTGAGGCTGATTTGGGCATTAGCGTGATATCATAGTTGGAACTGTTTGTCTGGGAACCATCTCCATCTGATTTTCTGGACAACAAGGGACTGACTGCTGAGTCCCCAGATGTGAGGCTGCTTTTGCTGACAGTACGAATGCTTCTTCCATGATTGACGCTGCCGCCACGAGTCCGACTGATGCTGCGGTCAATCTCAATTACTTCAACTGATGCTGGCAAGACAGCATTTGGAATGATTGTAGACAAATAAGTGGCCTGAGGAGAGATGGACATCACTGGTCCCTGGAACAGAACAAATGAAGGTATTTCACTTCGGCTGTCACAAATGCTCTAAATACAACCAACCAGGTACTAGAGTTTTACATTTTAAAAATACATTTATAGTTGGAGTACCAGCCTGATGACATTCTTACCGGGGGCTCCTGGAAGAAGCTCAACATTGAGGGTGACAATGTAAAGGGAGTTTTTATGCCAGTCACTGCAAGGGATTTGGGTCTCAGGGCAGATGTGGGACAGAGGTGGGATTGCTCTTTTTGGTACACATCTTGGAGGTGTTTGCTCACAAGTGCTTCATCTCTAAAGACCTGCTGAGGAGTGAATAGAGGATAATTTAAAAGTAGTAACAAGCTACAGAAACAACTATTTAGAATTTAGAAACACTTTACCTCCAGTTCTGAAAGGTGCACCCTTGCTCCCTCCTTATTTGCTACTGGAGTCCCCCCATCAACGGTCGGAATAACAACACTTGTTTGTCCATCACCTTCATGCTTGTTGTGATCAGGGAGCTTAGTCGAAACAAGCGGCTGAAAAGTGGAACTTCTGTTTAGAGCTGTCAAGAAAGCAGGTTATTATAAATAATCCATCACCATGTATTTTCTAAACCAGCACAGAAGATGTCAACGTACCAAGCTCTTTTTGGACTTGGTTGGGAATACCCATGATGGTGGTCCTCCTGTTCCTCTTCCTGCTTCTATCTGTTTTTTTCACTGGATTCAGAGGCTTGAATGTGGATCCTAACAGACACGTAAAAAAATAACCAGTTAGCCTGTACTTGATTTAAAAGTGGTTAATGTTTTTACCATTTACTCTGTTTATCATCTTAGTTTAGCATGCTAGCATGAAAACACATGCAGGTTAGCAACAATTAATGGAGGGAAATTAAAAGTTTGTCTGATTTTCAGCTTGCTCCTATTTAAAAGTTACCAAGATACTGGAGTTAGTGGAAATGGAAGGTTATTTACAAAAATGTATAAAATAAATTTAATTGACAACTAGCCAACTAGCAAACAAGACTTTGAACCACTGACGGCGCTAAATTGTATTTGGCACAAAATAACTTGATACCGTGAACAGAAAATGAAGGCAGTACACACTGGGAAACAATCTTTCTTAAAAATAAGCAAAAATATGTTTAAAATAAAATCAGAAACCACTCACGTTCACTGCGTGGACACACACAACCTTTCTCTTGCACACTCTTGCACACTCACACTGACATACTTTGCCTGCCAGCTGAGATATTAAGCTTCAGAGCCGTCTCAGATGCTTTGAACTTCATACTAAACATTAAAAAAATCCCAAGCTGTGGGTATGAGTGTGTGAAGTTTCGCTTTCTTTGATGTGACACTAGAAGTGTGCCGGCACCAAGCAGCTGGGGGGCGAGCGGTGATTTCTGAACGAATACTCAACTATGACTTTTTACAGAGAAACAGTCTCGAAGGGAAACAGTCTGATGTTTTAACGCTGCTATTAGCTTTTTTCCCCTTTACGCTGCAGAATTTATGGATTTTTTTTTACAAACACACAAACAGGATTGATGCTTACCTTGGTGGGTAAGCACAGGAGAAGCTGACGTTGCAGGGGTTACTGTGATATCTGTATTCCCAGTGGTGGATATGGACTCCGGAGAGCTGACTCTGTCCTTGGAGCTGATATCTTGCTCTGGATGGAGAGTGCCTGTGGACTGCAAAGAATACACACAACCACACACATCAATGTTAAATTAGATGGTGTTCACGTGGAATGCAGGAAGTGAGGTGAAACTGATCCACAGAGTGCACTTACAGAGGTGCTTCTATGGTCATCAAAGTTCACTCCATTCTTGTGTTCTATGTAAACCAAATCAAACACACGTATGAGCCACAGGAATATGCCAACGTGTTGACATGATGAATGTGTGTTTATCTACATTTAGCTCATTTGATTGTGTCTTACCTTCCTGCTGAAGTATCTTAAGCCCTTCCTGAGCCTCAGTATGCAGGTCCTCCAGGTACTGAGGCCGACTGCCCTCAATGAAAACATTATCCTGGTAGTGCTGAGAGGTCGTGTAGTGAACCGTCAACCTCTTCTGGTCTTCACTCCCCTTTGGGCCAGCTGTTGGAACAGTTTAAACAACTTCATTAGGTCTTTATGAAAACATTGTGTAGCTGTGGTTTGACTTGAAAGAACTGCACCACTAAAAGGACTACCTGCAGGTTTTACACCCACACCTCTGAAACATCCTCAGTCATTCAAACAATGCAGTGTAATGCTTTTTAGTTTGTACCTCCCTGCTGTCTTGAAACAAATACATAAAACAATATATATAACAGGTGTCTCAATAGAAAAAACTTTTGTTAAACCCTTTGCTCTTATTATATCTGTGCACCTTTTGACGCAGCACATTCATCAAATCTGTTGTACGTGACGTGCACCGCAGTAGGCATGGCAGCACTGATGAAAGCTCTGCTTCAACTACTTTACAAACAGACACTGTGGTCAAGAAGGCAAGACAAAGACTCTACTTCCTAAGAAGACTAAAGTAGTTTGGTACAAACACCAGCATCCTCACCAACTTCTATAGGTGCACCACTGAGAGCCTGCTGACAGGCAGCGTCACAGGGTGGTACATGAACTGCACCAGTCAGAGATGGAAAGAACTACAGAGGGTGGTGCAAACAGCAGAGGACATCACTGGTAGCAGTCTCCACACCATCCAGGACATCTACCACAGCCGATGTCTGCGTAAAGCATGCAGCATCATTAAGGACCACACCCACCCAGCACAAGGACTCTTCCATCTACTACCCTCAGGCAGACGATTATTACAGACGGTTATTATCCACAAGCTGTCAGATTACTGAACTCTCAGTAAATAACACTGAACTATTGACAATAACGTTGCACCAAGCCACATCTGTGACAGCTAATATGTTTATTGCTGCTGCGTGATGTGGTTGTATCATGTATGTCATGTATGTATGTCATATCTCATGCCATATACATCATGTACTGTATGTCACTACCATAACATCATAATTAAATCTCAATGTTCCTCACTACCCGTGCAATAACCTGTCACACAACCTGTGTAGTTTATGTTAATGTGCAACATATATCATGTGCATTTAAGCTAATATTACTACCTGAGAAATACTTATTTATACTAATTTATCCTACTTGCACAGTTATATTCTACCATGTTGTTGTTTACTATTTTTTCTTTGGCCCTTGTAAAAATTATATTTCTTTTTCACTTTTTGGTACTTTATTTTGTACCCTTTTTGCATGCTTTAAATTTTCTTGTTTGATTTTAGCAGGTCAAATCAGTTCCTCTCATCCTGAACATTTCATTGCATTGTTGACTTGTGTGAACCTGCATATGACAACAACAGAACAACAAATCTCCTCAGCCAGGTTTGGTAGACAGATGTCCCAGTGTGGCTGAAGGCTTTTAGCTGAAAAACTACGACCTGGCTTATCTCCTGTAGGATCCTGATGATCCACGCTAGTCTCCGTCAGATTGGATAATCTGGATCGTCTGCCTGTAAAGACCCGACTGGATCCAGTTCTGCTGCGAAACCTTTGTTTGAACTGAATTCATCCCCAGGTCGGATAAATACAGCAGAAATAAAAACTGAACCCAATATGCAAATGTAATGTTGGAATAGATGATGAGTTAGTCAAAGGAAAAAAAAAAAAAAACTTATGAGGTTTTGTTTAATTAAAGGAGATAATTTTAATATTTATAGCTTTGGGTATGTATCCAGTAATAGGAAACTTTATAAGACTTAAAAATTGTGGTTTTCATGTGAAAACTAATGAAAATCAAAGGTTTGGAAGCAGATTGTTTAATGTTGTAGATCACGTTGAGCTCGAAGAAATATTGATCACTTCTGACTAAATTAAGTTAAATAAGGATTTTTTTTTTTAAATATATTAATTTGACATTTATATCATTAAGGTGTTTAGTGTTAGACTTGTACATAATTTGTATATTTGGGAAGAAAATCGATTGTGCAAGTGCCTAAAAGCTTAGCTAAACAAGATTTAATGTGAGGTGTCTACTTTCTCTCCTTTGTCGGTCTAAACACGGCTCTCAGTCCTACCTGGTTAGGTAACACTGAAAGCGCACTGTATGTGTGTAGAGTCCCACCTGGACCCTCCTGCGTGCACAACATCCCGGACACAATGCCCTCTTGTTAGTGAGGCTGTGGGAAGGATAGAACTGATTTGATACAATATAAAATGCAAATTTCTTATACACATCACCCATAAAAGGTAATGTAGCCACCAGTTGCATTAAAAGAGACGAAGACCCCCAGAGATTGTATCAGACCCCTGCAGAAGGTTTAGGGATTTTGTTTAATGACTTAAAGAAACAGTAAATCCTTTATATCTCATTAAAGCCGACCCCCAACCAGCCCTTTGAGCCAGGACACACCAGTGTTTCTATTTGTAGGGTGCGGAGACACGTTTAAAACAATAGGTCAGTAATTATCTTCTTTAAACTAATGTTAAATATGTTGATGCGTTTGAAGGAGGTTGGAAAAACGTCAGCCCAGCTCCACATCATTTTTTTTCTCAAGCTAACAGAATAATACGTGTTCCCCGTGTGAGCCAGAACTCACCCTTCTTCTTGAAGGCGGACAGCAGAGAGTGGATGCTCTTCCTCAAGTAGACCACCATGCCTGCACCATAGCAGATGCACAATCCAAATATGGGACTGAGTTGAAGCAGTCCAACAACAAGAACAGTAAATAGTAAACGTGTTCGAGCTACAGAGAAGATCCAGGTGTTGGAACCTTTGAGAACTGCTGAAAGGAACCAAAAGTCCTACAGAGGTCTGACTCTGTTCAGGGTGGACGTTTCTGCAGAGCGTCTGGACGACTGGAAGACAAGTGCACAATGAGATCAGCTCCCAGCCAAAGCTGTCTGTCCCAGCTGCCTTATCCCTGGCTCTGATGCCCCCCCCCCCC